CTTTCCCTAGTTGCTCAGTTTAATATTTATATGTCTTAGTTACAATGAAGTCTCCTCTAATTACACAGCAAGCTGCAATAAAAAAGATGGACATGCAAGCATCAGGACAATTTCTTGCTGAACTGAAAGTGTTGACACGTGTTCATCATTTGAACCTGGTATGTTTTGAAACTTTGGAGCATTTTTTTTTCCTTTTATGTTCCGGATAAATAAGAAGGATTGTTGCTTTAAAACCTATATATCTTTGTATTGATAACCATGTAGGTGCGCTTGATTGGATATTGTGTTAAGGATTCCCTTTTCCTTGTCTATGAATTCATTGAGAATGGAAACTTAGGACAACATCTACGTAAATCAGGTTATATATTCAGTATTGGTGCATTGATGTGAAAATGTTTGAATACAAGTTTAAAAGAGTTTTTAAAAGTTTTTATGTCAAAAAACATTTAATATTTTCATAGAAAAACTCTCAAAACTTTTATAAACTTGTATCCAAACAAGTTCTCGTCGATTGATTTGATTGTAAATTAACAATCAAGTCAAGGTGTGTTTCCAGGTTTTGATCCTTTGCCATGGTCTACCCGAGTTCAAATTGCTCTGGATTCAGCCAGAGGTCTTCAATACATTCATGAGCATACGGTGCCTGTATATATCCATCGTGACATAAAGTCAGAAAATATTTTAATTGACAAAAACTTCTGTGCAAAGGTACAATTTGTTTCAATAACCTTGGAGATCTTGTTACTACTTTTCTACTTGGGATAGCTTGTGAGATATCCTATATTATTCTATTTGCAGGTTGCAGACTTTGGATTAACCAAGTTGATTGATGTAGGAAGTTCATCACTTCCCACTGATAATATGAAAGGCACATTTGGCTACATGCCACCAGAGTATGATGAATTATGTTTCTCTCTCTAAGTGATACCTAACTTATATAGGAAATAGGATTTATAGTTTTTGGGAAGTAAGGATCAGAAAAACTTGTTGAGGCCAACAATAAAAATATAAAGCAGAAACATTCACTATCCTCAAATTGATTAATGTCAATCACACACAAGTAAATGCATAATAAGAGTATTTAATTGTTTGAATATGTAAGCATAAAATAATCAATAATTAACTAAAAAAATGAGAAAATCCTTTTTCAATCAAATGAACATTTTGTCCATAGTTCCAATCCTGAACGAGTAATATTCTTGAAGAATCTCATGGTAAATAATAAATCTTTGAGCATTTGGTCTCTAACTAAATCCAATGGCGTCATGCAATCCATGTGATCGACCTTATTTAGTGAGATACAATTTTTCTTGTTGTTTGTTTGAGTCCTTGTTGGAAGAGGCATTCTCACATTTAATGTTTGATCGTGTCTCAAATAAAATTACCTTCTATGGAAGATACCTATGAGAAACCAAAACAAAAATTGCACATTTTGACAATCAATTGTTCAATTGGTTCGAGTATACATGCTAGCAATTAGCCTTTTATTTTCGTTTTTAATATAGTTTAGGTTTTTTAATATAGTTTTATATTTATGAATCTTGAGAGAGTATTTATTGTTGTGCAGCTCCTAGTTTGTTTTCCTTTAACAGCATTTGAGTCAGAAGATTTTCATTCTTAACACACATTTGTCTCTGTACACATTAAAACCAGTTTACTTCTTATGAGCCTGAATTCAATGATACCATTCGCTTTTCTGCAGATATGCATATGGAAATGTTTCTCCCAAAATAGATGTCTATGCTTTTGGAGTTGTTCTTTATGAACTAATTTCTGCTAAAGAAGCAGTGATCAAGGGTCCTGAATTAAAGGGCCTTGTATCTTTGGTGATACTTCACACCCTGCTGTTTATTATTTTCAAATGACAGCCTAGTGATCTTACATTAAAAATTAAGAACTATATTTTTTATTTCTTGTTTTTAATTTGTTGGTGATATATATGGCAGTTTGATGAAGTTTTTGAACAAGAAGATCCCACAGAAGGACTTAAAAAACTGGTGGATCCTAGGCTCGGAGATAACTACCCAATTGACTCAGTTTGCAAGGTACCAGTGATCACAAAGCATTTAAACTTTTTGTTTTCTGATTTCAACAGCTTAGGCCATTTTACTTAATGCAGATGGCACATCTTGCGAGAGCATGCACAGAGAGTGATCCACAACAACGTCCAAGTATGAGTTCTGTTGTGGTTAATCTTACAGCACTTATTTCAACTACTGAGGATTGGGATATTGCTTCCATCATTGAAAATTCAACTCTTGTAAATCTAATGTCTGGGAAATAGACGAAGGAATGTAGAATACAAATGTCACCATTTGATTCTTTTGTTGCAAAACAAATTTGTAATAATTCCACCGCATTTCCCATCAAACTCTTGTTTGCAACTAAGTGACTTTTTTTATCAGTGAACAAACTCTTTTCTCACTGATTTTTTCTTGCTTTGGGAAAAATTGCATGGTAAATCATGTTTTTTGCCTTGTAACAACTTTCTTTGTTGCACTTTCAAACAAACTAGAGGATTAGTGTTTTTTCTAATATTATTTTATTTTGCATTTGCTATACCTTTGTAGTAATACGACCACCAAAATCAGGCTAAAAAACGGTGAATATTTTATTACCTACGTTTCATTTTCTTTTTTGTTTAACTAAGTGAGATTAATTTTTTCAGTTATAGAAATTTGTTTGATTAACTTTTTTCTTGAAAAATAATTCTCTTAGATTACATGAATTTTTTTTGGAAATACCTACATTAATTTATAGTTTATAAATTGTATGGTTACCTTTTTATAGCCATCAATATATTTTTTTTAAGGTTAAATTATACTTTTAGTCATTTATCTTATTTCTATAAATTTATTATGATCATTTATCTTTTAAAATGTTCATTTTAATCTTTTAACTCTTCAATTTGTATTTATTTGATTTTTTTGAAATAATAATTATTTTTAATTTTGAGAGATGATTTTAAATATTTTGTTAACTGATTCAAGATTTAAATTTTAACTAATTAGATTCAACATAAAAATTATTAAATGGAATCAAAGTTCAAATATAAAAGTGCTATAATTATCATGAAAGTTGTATATCAATAAGTCCAAAAAATAACAAAAATAATTCTAAAAAATTATTTTTATATTATTTTTTAATTGCTTGTGAGATATATTTTTTACATGATTTTTTCTATGTTTGTTACTCTTTTGAATTCTAATATAATATTAATTAAATTTCATAAGTTTCATATAAGTGAATTTAATGAGATAAATTTTAAGTTTTGAATTAGTCAACAAAAAATTCAAAAGCATCTTTCAAAATTAAAAATAATTACTATTTTAAAAAGACAAAATAAATCTAAATTTATGAGATAAATGACTAAAATAAACATTTTAAAAAAGAAAGAACTAAAATAAATTTTAAAAATAAAATGAAGGATAAAAAAGTAAATTTAACCTACTTTTTATTATATTTCATATGATGGAAGGTAACATAAGTTTAAAATTAACAACTTCACCATTGAGTTTTTCTTAATCGCCATCTTTTCGGCTTTCAAGATATAAGAATCACTAAATTATATACAACTATCCGCATGATGTGTGGGTAAATAAATATTTAAATTAGTAATATTTAAAAGATATATTAAAATATATTATTTTATTAATTATAAATGTATTTTTAATTATGTAATGTAATTATAATAAATTTTATGGTCTGCACATATATATATATATATATTTTTTTTTTTGACAAAATCTTATTAGAACACATATCAGTAGAATTATTCTTATTTTATTTTTCTTTAAAAGTGTTTTTTTAATATATATTATTTTTATTTAATAAGTTGTAAGAAAAACTTAAATCACTTTTATATTATTTTTTAAGTAACTTTTTTCTCCATCATTTTGTATATTATATGACTTTAACTTCAAATTTATCTTTGTTTGTATGTATATACTTATGTGTATACGTATATATATATGTACAATCGGTCATTATGAATTAAGTCACTAACCGGTCAGTTCACTCTTTTAAGTGAAGGAGAACGATTTTTAGTACATTGGCTAGACCGATTCACCTCATTTTTTACTGATTGATTATGGGACAAGCCAAAAAGATATGAACTAGCCTGTGTTACCACTTCCTATTTAAGAATAATAGAAAAACACTTTTATAAAGTTTTCTTATTGAAAGACAATACATTTTCTTACTGCTTCAAATTAAAATATCAAAATAAATAAAATAGGTTAAAAACTAACCACCTTTTACAAATTAAATTAAGTGATTTTTTCTAGTGTAAACCCCAAAAAATCCTTCTTCTATACCAATTGAGTAAAAAAAAAATACAATAATTTACTTAAATTCTCTTAAAATAATAAAAGAATAGTTTTAGAAAAATATCAATAGACAAACAAACACAAGTGTGACTGATGCAACTAAAGTAAAGTCCTTACACATAAAATAAAGCATCAAATTTCATATACCTACCATCACAATAAATTAAGTCTCTTTCGCATCACCTCACATCAACATGAAGTAGCTTATAAGTACATAGAATTTTTCAGAAATTAGTTATGATTAAATACCCCAAGTTGTAAGTAGCACATTATACACAGTTGACATTTCTCTAACTTTAATGTAAAGAGGTACAGAGGTTCCTGTGTTGATTCTTTTGCATGAATAAACCTTCATATAATAATTCAATATTCGACGAATTGAAAGTCGACTTATTTATCTTGATTTATGAAAAATATTTTCTTAAAATTAACTGTAATTAATTAAAGTAGCTTTTTCATTCAAGTCAAAAAATGACTATAGCCACTTGAATACTTTGCCACCGGCGGCTACCAAGGGAGATGTTATCGTTGAGAAGATTCGAGAGTGCCAAATACAGACTTTTCTTTGTTTTTTCTTTACATCATAGAAAATTTGAGTGACATATAAACCCTAATCACATCAAAACACAACTAGGATGTGGATCCATCCACTAATGCGAACGAGTTAATTTGTTGGATACATGGGACCATAAATAGAAATCACACCTATAATCCCACTAATCTCTTGCCAGATTCTCATCTGCTACTATACCAAACCATTTCATGTTGCTTTAATTAAACTATCATCAACTTTTGAATTGTTTATGAAAATCGAAACTTTTATGACTAAGCAATCTCTAGGGTTTAGGCATCTGCAACCTATTCCCTTTATCCCACAGTTATTAGTTAATTTAGGCCAAATAAGAGTTATGTAAACATCAAAAAACAAAAGTGAGCTCACGTAAATTTTAAACTTCAGCGAATTTGACTTTTATATATAAAAAAAATAATAACGATATTTTAAATATTTAACTTTTTAAAATACTTTATCAATTTGAATTTTCCAAGCAAATCGAAGTAGAATAAATGATTCGTAATTTTAGAAGTTTTTTCAAGAAGCTGATGATTGCCTCTAATTTTATATGAGATTGTATCTAATCTTAATCTAAATTTTATTTTTAAAAAAATATTATTGATGAACACCTTTTACTTATTTCCATATTTTTTTTCTATAACATCATATCACTTATTATATCAATTAATAAGTTTTCGGTCCAAAAGGGAACTAGGCTCGGTCTATTTTAAAAAAAAAATTATATTCAAATATTGTAAATGTAGAAAAAGTAATTGAGCGAAAATACCCTAATCAATCATATTTTTCTATTGAGATTAATTATTAATAAAATTGGTAAACATATATCACAAATAGTCAAGTAAAGACAAATATGATTATTGATTACATCAATTTTAATATAGGGCCATACTTAAAAAGAATTATTTAAAATCATTAAATATATCTTCTCATTATTCCTTTATAATATAAATAATTAAAATCATTGTCCTGGTTTTTAAGATGTTAAATTATTAAAAATAAGCTAAATATGTTTTCAATTTTTAATTTTTAATTATTTTAGTTTATAAATTTTCAACTAACTTATGTATGGTGAAATATCTTATAAATTATTAGTTTTTTTTTTTTTTTACAAACATACCCTAAGAATTAAAGAGTTGTGTTACTCATGATAACTCATACAAATTTTATACAATAACATATTTTATGTCCATCTCTTTTACTCACATTATTATTAAATCTCATACTTTACTTTATTATATAATATTTTGACGAATAGCATTTCTCAAATGAAAAAGGGAAAAGGGCAAACACCTAACATATTGAGTTGAATTTGCCTCTTTGTCACTTTTCTGTTTGTTTCTGTTTGCATAGCTGGATGTCATCATCTTATCATCTTTATCCGTATGGATTAACTACTAATTCTTTTGAGCATTATTTCGTTTAAAAGAAAAGACAAGAGTGCTTGGTTTAGTTTATATAAATTAGAGAAAATTTAACAAACTCATTGAGTTTCTTAAGTTTATTATTATAACTTTGATTTTTAGTCATATATGTGATTTTTGTTCTTTAAAATGAATTAGTTTTCGACTACTAATTAAAAGATATATCTATAATATAAATAAAAAATGTAAAAAGAAAATAAATAAATTTACTATTATATAATTAAAATGATTAAACAAAATTATTAAATTAAAGATAGTTTAATTTAATTACAAAAACTTCATTTCCACACAAATCTCTCTGAAAACAAAATTGAATAAGGAAGACTTTTATTCTTGTTCTCTTTTATTCTCTAAAGTATTTTAAACTAAGTGAAAAATGTTCTAAAAAAAAACTCTTTCTTTATCGCTTCCTTTTCCGTTGTGGTCAACCAAATGCTATATGTTAGAAATCTCATTCTTTTGTGGGGCAGGGGTCACTGATTAGTGGATTTGTTGTCAAACCTTCTCATTATATCATGGCAATGTATTATTTTAATATGATTCCTCGCATTATGTTTTTTTTTTCTTTTTGTGGAATTTGAGCATTTTATACATACATACAGCCTCCGGCAGAAGGTTCATATAGCATCGTATGACTTACTGAAAGCATAATGATTTCATTCCATTATGAAAGCAGATGCATATTTAAAGAAGAGATTATTAATTATTATTAAAAGGAAAAATATATTACTAGTACTGTTATCAATTTTCGATATACTTGAAGATAAAGATCAAAATAAAAGTACTTGAGAGAAATTTTAGATGTAATGATTCACAAGAACAGTTTTTATCATAGAAAGATATGTTTGAGCATCAAAGAAGTTAGAAGAAGTTACATTAGTTATTGGCAATTATTTAAGGTTATCTACGTGTCAAATTTATGTTGAGTAACACCGTAGAGTTTTCTCTTTAAATACTCAAATATGAGCTTGAGTGGTAAAAACACTTTACACAAACCTTTGTATACTATTTTTCCTACTCTTTTATAACTTCTAGTTTTCAGTGATGTTTGTATGTATTTCTATACCACATTTTTCTTTCCTTTTAGTATAATAATATATTTAATTTTCTTTCTTCTCTTTACTTTTCTTATTATTAGTGTTTTTTAATATAATTTCTTTGATTAGTATTTGTACGGGTAGGGTCATTCTGTCATACCCTTCGACGCATTCC